TAAGTTTAATAAAAGGACAGGGACAGATAAGTATCAGAGATTGTCATGTCTTGGTTGAGATCAGAAGATGCCCATTCTTAAACAGAGCAAGGACTTTTTTTATCCCAAATGTTTTTTCGGGCATCATATAAACAATTCGGTCTCTACATAATGTAACATTGAAATATTGGAAAAATTCAGTCGGAAACTTCCGTATCGGAAATATTGGTGTACTATTACATAAACACTGGCGGAATTGTAAGACAATTGATCTATAATAAATTTTTAATTTTAGTTTTAAAAATTATATATCAATAACGATAAATGCACAGAATAGTACGGCTGAGGCTCGGCGCATCATAAATCGAAACACTGTCGGAGGTAAAAATCGAAACTCTTCAAAATACCCAAGTAATTTTAAAAATAATTTGGGAATTTCTGTGGATGACCCTCATGACATAGCTGAATCTTTTAGTCAACATTTTTCGAATTCCGTAAAAAATTTAATTAGTCAAACTTCACCTGACTATAATCCTAAGAATCTTTCTTCGCCTATAAATTCCCTTTTCCTTTATCCTGTTAGTGATGAAGAAATAAAGAGTATAATTAAAGATATCTCAAAAGAATCCTCTGCTGGACTGGATGAGATCCCGTATTCTATGTTATTACATGTATCTCATAACATATATAAACAATTAACATTTCTAGTAAACCTTTCATTTCAGGAAGGGATTTTTCCTCAAATTTTAAATACTGCTCTAGTTGTGCCTATACATAAAAAAGGTGACAAATCAAAATTTGATAACTATCGAGGCCTATCACTTTTATCTGTGTTTTCAAAAATTTATGAGATGGCATTTCATACACGTCTCCTCTCATATATTAAAAGGCACAACATTATAGAAAAGTCTCAATTTGGTTTCCGTTTTTTTGACTTAGCACGAGCTTTTGAAACTGTAAATCATCCAATACTGCTGGAAAAACTTTATCATAGTGGTGTTAGAGGAACTGCGTTAAAGTGGATCCAAACCTTTTTATCGAAAAGGTTTCAAAAAATTAAGGTTAATGTGAATGGAAATATAATATTTTCTTCAGAAGAAAGTGTCCTCTCCGGAGTTCCACAGGGAAGTATCATTGGCCCTCTTTTATTTTTGATTTTCGTCAACGATTTAAATCAACTGATAAACGATAGCTCAACGTGTTTGGTTCGGAATCCATTAGATAATTTTTCTGATGCAATAAGCGTTCGAGGAGAAAACTCAATTTGCTGACGATACCACAGTTGCACTAAATTCCAATAATTTTTCTCATGTAGTTCAAAAAGCAAACTGTCTTGTAAAAAGTATGAGTCTTTACTGTTTAAATAATGCCCTAATATTAAATGGATCAAAGACCAATATGGTAACCTTTTCACCTTCTAGTATGAAGATGAGTCCATTAGTAAGGCTTGACAATGGGTCTGTGGTAAATAGCCACTCCACCAAGTTGTTAGGTGTTTATCTGGATTCTAATTTGTCTTCACGTTGATTATGTAGTGGGAAGATTGTCTGTACACTCTTATGTTCTATGGCAACTTAGGAATTTTGTCTCCCTAGAAATATTGAAACTTTACTATTTTGCTCATGTACAGTCAATTTTGCAATATTGCTTAGTTTGTTGGGGAAATTGCTCGCGTATTAATGAGGTGTTTGTTCTTCAAAAAAAAATTATTCGTACCATGACGTTTAGAAGGCACTTGGATTCCTGTAGACCAATTTTTAAACAATTAAATATTTTAACTGTAATTTCGCTGTATATTTTTAGTTGTGTTGTATATGTAAAGTCACATAGATGTAATTTTATTTGCAGAAATGATGTTTCCTTAATGAGTGGCTACAATTTTCGTTACAGAAATGATTTGGTGACCCCTGCTCGCCACTTCCTAATGGACGACACCGAAATCAGATCGATTACATAATGATTAAACATCGCTGGAAAACATCTATTAGCCAATGTAAAACACGACCTAGCGCTGACTGCGGCTCTGACCACCAACTTCTTGTTGCAACGCTAAAGCAAAAATTCAAGGCATGTGCTAGGATCCGAAACAAGAGGATATCAAAAATAAAAGATACACAACAATTTAAAATCCAATGTAATGAAAGATTCGAAAATATTTTACCAACTATCGTCACTCATGATTCCGAAAAGATTTGGTTATCTTTTAAAAATACCTTGATACAGACCTTGACTGACTGCGAGGCACAGTCTAATGCCGTCTCAACCGGACCAAAAAAAGTGTGGATGTCTGCAGATACTTTGACCTCGTTGAAGAACGTAGAAAACTTAAAATTGCTGGAATCGAGAACCCTCTCAGGAATTCCCAGTACCGACAGCTATCTAGAGCTATTCAGGCTGCTTGTAGACGAGACAAAAACAAGCATATAGAGAAAATCTGCAGAGAAATTCAACTACACGCCGACACAAATAACACCAAAGAACTCTTTGATAAAGTCAGACAACTCACACGTAAATTCAAGCAGAAATCTTGGTCTATCAAAGATGATGAAGGTAATGTACAGACGGATTTGGACAAGGTTATTGATGTTTGGAGGGCGTATTGTAAGTCTTTATACGCCAATACGGACCAGATGCCAGCGGACGCCCCGTTTGTACCTGACTGCCAGACCTCCACTTTCCATTCTCCTTCAACAGAGACACACCACACTAGTTTTGAGTCTGAACCTGACATACTTTTTTCCGAGGTGGAATTCGCTTTAAAAAGACTTATGTTAAACAAAGCAGCAGGATATGATCTCATTACTGCAGACGTCTTGAAGCATTTTCCGGAATGTGGAGTGAAAATATTACATCGATTGTGCAATGAAATATGGCACACAGGCGTCTGGCCTGAGGATTGGAGAAAGACCATAATCATACCTCTTCTTAAGAAAGGTTCAACAAATAATTGTAACAACTACAGGCTATTAGCTCTAATATCACACGCCAGTAAGGTGATCCTCTACATACTGCAACGGCGTCTAGAAAACTTCATAAGTTGGCAAATAGCACCTGAGCAGGCTGGATTTGTAAAGGGCAGAGGTACTAGAGAACAAATCCTTAATGTACGAAACATCATAGAAAAAGCCAGAGAATACCAGATCCCGATATTTATATGTTTCGTCGATTATACAAAGGCCTTTGATAATGTTAGATGGGACAAACTATGGAACATATTGACGACAATGGGTGTACCTAAACACTTGACTCACCTTATTAGCAAACTGTATCAAGATAACCTGGCATATATTCGAATGGACGGATATCTGTCTGACAAATGCACTTTGGAGAAGGGAGTACGCCAAGGATGCGTTTTATCTCCCTTATTATTTAACATCTATTCGGAGTTCATAATGCGCAGAGTTTTGGATGGTTGTGAGGGAGGAGTAAACCTAGGTGGTGTTAAGATATCTAACTTGCGTTTCGCAGACGACACTACACTTCTAGCCTCTACTCCAGAAGAAATTACTAGATTATTAAAAAAACTCGAGGTAGAAAGTGCTAAATTTGGACTCATGGTTAACTACAACAAAACCAAAATCATGGTTATTGATCGCCAACAACAGTTTCCTGAAACCCAAACTATTGCGGGATGCGAGGTAGTCTCATCTATGATATATCTTGGAGCTCTAGTTAACAACACAGGCAGTTGTGAATCCGAAATTAGAAGACGCATTCAACTAGCAAGAGCAGCAATGAGTGAACTAAACGGGGTCTGGCGTGATCGTCACATTACTATGACAAACAAAAAGAGACTCGTTTTAACTCTGGTCTTTTCCATATTTTACTATGCATGCGAGACATGGACAGTCAAAGAATCAGATCGACGACGTATAGACGCCTTTGAAATGTGGACATGGAGACGCCTGCTTCGAATTCCATGGACGGCTCGCCGTACAAATATCTCGGTTCTGGATGAAATTAAACCGGATCAACGTCTCTCCAGTACCGTTTACTCTAGAATTTTAAAGTTCTTTGGCCATATCCATCGAAGTGATCACAAAATGGAGCGGTTGGTGGTCCAAGGAAGGCCTCAGACTCAACGCCAACGCGGAAGATCTCCACAGCGATGGGCGGACATTACTAAAAAGCTTCTCAATAAACAGTATACTGAGGCAATACATATAACTGATGACCGCGAACAGTGGAGAAATATTATCAATCAAACTGTCCGAGCTGCTGAAGCCCAATTATGAACCACAACACATCTACTAAGATGTTAATGACTGTGATGATGATGATGCTCGTCACTTGACTGTTGTGGGCAAGGGTCCTTACCCAACATGCGTTAGTTTGTATAATAAATTACCTAATTATGTTAAACAGTTAAATATTTATGTATTTAAGAGAACAGTTAAGAAATTACTTCTGGCAAACACTTTCTATTCGTTAGAGGAATACTTGCATACATCTTTTTAACAATTTGTATGTTTTTGTGTATATTTTATGTTTTATGATTGTGCTTATAGTTTTTACTTTTTTTTACTACCTATGTACCTATAGTTTTTTAAATTGTATTTTGACGCACTTCAATACTTGTAAAAGTCAGATGAAATAAAGAATATTGATTGATTGATTGATAAAACTAGCAAGGCATATTTATAGGAACTTTTATCTTTTGCTTACAAAAATATTTCAGATTAATTGGGAAATACGTTGTATAATAAATCATACAATGACATAAAAATTAAAAAAAAACCAACACAGGTCATGAAGTAAGGTACGAACACAATATGTTATGTAAATTTTTCACAGCTGCTCTCTCTAATCATTCAGGTACCATCGTCTTGTAGATGAAAGTAGTCTCCCTCAATTTTCAATATTGATATAAAATATTTTCAAGTGCTATAGGTGGTTTAAATTCATTTGAAAAGTATTTTTTGTTGTAAGCGTTGCAAAATTACTGTGAATGACAAGTCAATATTTGAGATATGCAACAAAATTAGTAATCCTATATAAAATATAACTAACTCTTGTTTTAGATTTGCAACAACAGTTTCCAGCAGTTGAGCCAGAAATGAGGCTGCCATCTCCTACAACAACTTCGGAAGATAATACCACAAACTGGCAAGAAGATTATAACGATAGTTTAGAAGATTTAAGAAAAACGAGTAAACTAATTAAGAAGCTGTGGGATAGAGAGGAAGAAAATTATTGAAAAACATTTAAATTTAATGTGTTAATGTATACTATAGAAAACTCTCATAGCAGAGGTAGTACATAATTATTTTATTGAACACAAAAGACTTAAAATGTGATGTCACAAAATATAGTTGTAAAAACTTTGTATATGGTCCGTATACATTTACATATGCCACGAAGACTTTTTTATTTCAATTAATTGCGTCAACTACTAAGTAGGATCATTATTTTTGTTATACTTTGTTACTAAATAAAGTTGACTTCATTGGCTTTACACAGAGTCTCTTATTATATCGGAATTTGTAGATCCGACAAAGATAAGAAATTTTTTAATAAAAATTAACATGATGTCCTTATTTTGGTATTTGGAAGATTTGTTTGAAGGTAATGACTTTCTTGGTGACATAATTAACTTTTAAATCCTGCTCCTCATCCCTATCACTTTCTTTCTATTGATTATGAAAGAAGCTTGGGAATAATTACTCTGCAAAAAGCAATATTTTAGGCAGCGTGTATCTGTCTTCGTTTTCCATACAGAAGCTCTGTTCCTTCGTTTTTTAAAATAAGTTCCAGAGATAGAGACAGTTGATGTAATTAGAGTGGTCTTCTTGATTATGTCAGGGCTTTTACTTTCGAAGACAGAAACAGTTGCCGATCTGACTAGATACTACAAAAGGTTTGAGTCTACACTTTCTATTTCTTCTCAGAATAAATGAACTGCAGATACTAGTTCTTTATCCACAACATATTGAAATTGCAACAAGAAAAGTCATACATATCATGTATATTCTGAACGCAAGAGATGGTTTTGTCACAGTTAAGGTAGGAAAAACATTACTATTTTCAATTGTAATAGGTGTTCAAAAAACTGAAGTTTTGACAGACAGCAAAACTCAGCTCTCAAAGCAGCCAAATGTCTATTCCAAGCACAGGGAAAACTATCCTAGGCCAAAATTTACAGAAACCTTTCAACAAACCTCAAACTAGTAAATTTTTATATTCTATTTTGTAACATCCAGTACCCACAAATAGAACCCACATCCACAATCTAATATGCTTAATTGGTTATTACCGTAGACTTTTGAACAATTCTGTTTCAATTTGTAGTCCTATTTCTGACTTACTGGAAGGAAGAAAGAACGGTCAACCTACTACTTGGACTACTCAAGCTGATGAAGTTTTTTATAAAATCAAATAGGTTTTTATAACGCTCCTGTCTTGCAAGTCCAGATTGTTTCAAACATTTTTATTTTGATTGTCATGCAAGTGACTCTGGTGTAGGCGGTATCTTATTTTAAAGGGATGATGGATTAGAACACCATATTGCCTACTTCAGCATAACTTTAACAAAAACTCAACGTAAGTATACTATTACAGAAAAAGAATTAGCACTTTTACTTTCTATTTAGAAATTCGTATTATGAAAATTAGAGTTTCTAGATGGAGCTAAACCTCAAACAATCGATATGGTGACGTCACATTAATGTTGCGTATTCCTACTATTATATCATTTTTCTAAATCAGCTTAGATTTTATTTAAAGCACACCTTACTATCTTTTCTATAATGATAACAAATGCTAAGTTGTCAGATCTGAGTATCTATACCGCTATCCACTCATTTTTGTTTCCTAAAATTTAAATTGGTTTGAAATAATTCCATCGATGCTTGTCTTCGTGTTTTTGTGGTATAAGTAAGTAAATTTTATTCTTCCATGGAATAAATACATATAATTATATAACATGTACTGCCCTATAATTCTATGAAACAAATAAATTAAGTCCTAAGAGTCTCATTAGTTATTCCAGGATATAGATACTATTTTTTCAGTTTGTTTAAAGCTTGAACGTTTTACATTTTAATGTAAGTCCTATCTCAAACTAAGTGTTTCGATTCCTTTTAACAGTTATCCCATTATTGTTTGGAAGCTATTTTCTTGTGACATATTAATATTATTTACCATGTTTAAAAGTAATAAACCATATTTTTGTGGTTAATGCGAAATACTTCGAAAACAGATCCCTTGTATGATTTTGTTCAGCTTGGAATACTCAAATATCCTCACTCACGATGTTTTACAGATTTTTGAATTAAAGCAGTCTAGAGTTCTTTGAGAAAAAATCGCTCTAGCTGATTTCTGTTCTTAGGATAACAAACGCGGTATCCATTGGACCAAGCTAATGTTTTTACACACAATCCATGTATATATATATATATATATATATATATATATATATATATATATATATATATATATATATCGAGAAAAGGAGTACGACCGTCAATCAAATATAAATTAAGGATCAATCGAAGATTGGTGGGTTTTTCGGTCAAAAGTTGGAGAAAAAAAAAGACAAAGAAGGTGGCTACTTCATCTATTTATTGAAGACGTTTAGCTTTCTAATTAGATAGCATCATCAGTTTATCTAAAAAGAACAATATGAAAAACCAAACATCCGAAGAGGAGTTATTAAGTGTGTTACCTCAAAAAGTAATGGAGCAGTCAATGATATTGCAGTTGTAAAGAAGCTTATGATAATGGACATTAAAAGACTATTTTGTATAAACAATAAATTGAACTAACTACAGTTAACAATTTTCTCAAACTTAGCACAGCAAAAGAATATGTGGTAGTTGTACATGTATATAAAAATTATGTAAAAACTTTAAGTACAAAAACACATTAATGTGAAGAAGAACTAAAAAGACCTAAGATGCTCTTCCAACAGTATATTAATAGTTAAAGTTTAATTTTGACTTTAGGTAGTATTATTAAAGTGAGTAGATTGAAATTTAGTAATTTAAAAGTATAATGAAGTTACCACTACGAGCTTCTAGTCTGCTGCCGGTGAAATGAAGGCAACAGGTATTAACAACGCCAACAACGTGAAAAGACAGTGGCCTTGAGGTCAACGCGTGACAGAACAACAAGGCGAAATACCAACTCTAAAACAGTAGAGCAGTTTATTTAAAAAATATGACAAAATATTGTCAACCAAATTTGTTTCAAGCGTCTTTACAACTTTAATATCATTGACTGCTACATGTCTTTTTGAGGTAACACACTTAATAACTTCTCTTTGGATGTTTGGTTTTTCATATTGTTCTTTTTAGATGAACTGATGATGCTCTCTGATTAGAAAACGGAACGTATTCAACAAATAGATGAAGTAGACGAAAAACCCACCATTCTTCGAGTGATCCTTAATTTATATATATATATATTGTAATGATTTTGTATTTTTGATTTTAATTTATTTACTTGAAACAATCACAAAAATATACTTTCTCGTTATCAATGTCCTAAAAAATAAACTTCTGATATTTCTTATGTTCAGTGAGTTCAAAGTTTTCTAGTTGTATTTATCGGGATAGGAAAAACAAAGGATAATAATAAAAAATATAATACATAAAATACAGATATTTTTTTTATTTTATAAAAAAAAAAAAAAAACAATTATTAAATTTGCCGTTATCTTTTCAATCAGCGAATATGCATGTAATGAAATTAATACAAAAAGAAAATTTTAATTCTTATTTTCTTCTTGAGACAAAACAATTTGAAACTAATTTAAATTTGGATACCTTTATAAACTTTTATCTTCCTTATATTTAAAAAATCTATTTTATTATGGAAACAAAACTTTAAAACATTTGATAAATGTAAAAAGGTCTAATCATGCTTTAAACTGGTAACAACAATGAGGTAAACAAATCGCATTTAAGATTTACACACCTTTCAACTTGAAAAAGGAAAATATCTGACCTTTCTTCCCTGGATTGTTTTAGGACCACACAAAGAATTGTCCACCTTCCACAGCAATGTGTTCTTCCACCTTGCGCCTCGGCTTCTTGTTTCAGTATCTGCTCCTTCAGCCAATTTAACTGACTTAATTTAACCTCCTGACTCAATTCTCCAACACTTAACACACGAAAATCACTTCTTCAAACATTCATATAACTTCTTCGTGACCCAAGGATCTCTTTTCTCACCTGGTGCCACAACTATTTAACACGTATTCCAGAAACTGCACACTTTAGATTCAAGGATTTCTTTACATCGACTTGCAATCTACTTCTTCCACAATTCTGCTAACAAGACTGGTAACTTTATCCACTTAACAATGCCGGCCTCCAACTCACGAACACACCGCCTGTCGAGACGCAACCTTTCTTTTCGATCACTCAAACATCACTGTCTTCTCGAACCAACAAAAACTCTATCAACCCTCCGTCTGTCGATTTCTCCTTCCAAAAAGATCGTCTCATCACAAATCCAAATTTGTTTACCACACTTGTTGGAATGCTAATTACCGTTTTCAAGCAAGGAACTTTAATCTTTTAACAATGGTCATTTCCTTGTAAACAAATAATTTTTATACATTTCAAAGATTTTTGCCTTAGTCATAATAGAAGATTTATACAACACAATACCGGACTAATCCTTCAGGTAACAGCTTATTTTCTATAATGTACAAATGGTTTGTCAATAACTCGTTTAGAATGGCTTAGTTCTTTATAAGTCATAAAATTTCGGTACTAATCTATCTATTTACAAATATACAAACTTTCTATCTTAAAATTAATACATATTTTGTCTTCAGATTTCTTAAAAACTTACTTCCGATGGATTCCTTAATTATTTTTGTTCCTTCCGCGTTTGTGGAAGAAGAAGTATAATAAATCCCCGCCTTTGCATATGATAAAAATTACTGAATTATGTAGGGATTTTTCTCTTATGCAAACATTCTTTGTCTCTTATTCATAATATTTATAAACATCGTTGATATTATATATTCCCCTAATCTTGTCTGAATCCAAATGCTTCAAAACATAACTATTTATACCATTATCATTGTTTATTACGTAAGGACCCTCAAAAACAGGCATTAACTTTGCGCATACATTGCCAGGGATGTTGGACACTCGCAATGCTCTCACCATAACCTTCTCACCTTTTTGGAAAGTAACTGGTCTTCTTTTCCTATTTTGATCTTGTCTCTGGATATATTTTTCGTTTGCTCTCCGCAATCTCCTTTGCACATCTTCCATTATCTGTGTGTATTCCTTTTGTTTTATATCTTCCCATGGCCTTATCGGCATTATCCCTTTCATTATATATTCTGGGGTTTCTTTCGTTACGGTGCTTGGGATGGTATTTAAATACATTTCTACTTCGGACACTTTCCGATCCCATCGTCGATGTTGACCATCTGTTGTAATTCGAAGAAATTTCGTCACTTCCTGTATACATCGTTCCGAAGGATTACTCTGAGGATGTCTGATGCTAACAAAATTTGTCTCTATTCCCCGTTCTCGAAGTTGTCCCTTGAAACGATCATTCCTGAAGTATGTTGCATTGTCTAGAAGAATCCTTCTTGGTGTTCCTACGGTGGCTATAAAATTGTCGATGTTTCTCATTATTTCCTCGCCTTTCGTGGTCCGGCAACTGTATAATTTTACATATTTTGAAAATACATCTATCATGACTAAAACATGTTTATTCCTCTTCGTTGTCATAATTAGATCGCTTAATATATCTATTGCTACAATATCTAATTT